AAAAAAAAAAAGAACGAACCAAATTTTTTCATCCCACGAACGAAGAAAAATGAAAATGAAAATCGAAGGTGTATCTTTCGTACTTTTTCCAAGTTGTCCTTGCATAAATAAAAGTCTCTAACTTTCATCTGTAATTTGTATAGCTAATTCTCTCGTCAACCGTTTTTAGAGATCTATTCTTTGCCGCACTTCACTGGAACTCCATATTTTTTGTCCAATTGCATGCGAGGTCCTTTCAATTTTATAGTTTTACAATCACTTTGTGACAAAGAAATATTTACTTGTTACTGGTAAAGTGTACAGGTACTTAAGTCGGTATCGAGAAATAGTACTAGCATCGTGTACATCCACGACGCGATTTCAAAACAATTGCGTAAAACCTCGAGACACTAATTAACGTGAATCATACTTATACTCCCTCGATTTCATGCGATTGTCCTGTGTGTTAATAACGACACCACGAATCGAGGATAATGAGATGTAATTCTTGGGTGGTCGAACGAAAAATCTGTAATTCCTTTTAGCTCGGAGGAACACGGTGTCCTTATTGTAACGTAATCAGAGACTGTGAGTTACGTGCTTATCTTCTGATTCTTAGGAAAACGATTATTTGTTTGATAGCAGTAGAAACTTTCTTTGTTTCAATTTCGGCTTAATTCAGTGACGTATGCATATTTTAGGACAATGATATTTTAATTGATTTATAAATTGCAAACTTCTTTTGGCGAAATGAAATTTTTATTGATTTAGAAATCTCCTTTTTAGCGAAATAAGATTTGCATTTAATTTAGAAATCTTCTTTTTAGCGAAATAAAATTTGCATTTAATTTAGAAACCTTCTTTTTAGCGAAGTAAAATTTGCATTTAATTTAGAAATCTTCTTTTTAGCGAAGTAAAGCATATTTTTGCCGCTTGAAAAATTCTGGATTTTAACGTATCGTGTATTAATTTATTTTAATAAATTTCACAGGACCAATTCCAGGATGTAAACCTTGCACGAGTTCAGAGATGACTTACTGCAAAGATGGAAGCGTGATCGATGATCATTGTTGTTGCGATGGCAGCTCTAATGGTAAGCCTCGTTATAATAATAATAAAAAGTGTATCAGACATTTTGTAAATGAAACTAAAATTTTCTGGTTTTTCAACGAAAAGATCGCAAATTCCTACAATCCTTTATTTTAGACTTTTAGTCTCAAAATCACTATCTTAAAAAATTTATTCGACATTTCATAAGTGAAACTAAAATTCCCTAAAATTTTCTTGTCTTTGAATAAAATATTTCAAACGAAAAAATCGCGAATTCCCACAATCATTCATTTTCAATTCTCAATCTTTTTCTCAACCACAAAAACGTGCATATAAATCGTAATTATTTTCATTGCTTTTTCGATTATACCAGCCGTGTTTTAAACTTGTCCTTCGTTTACCTACACGTAGAAATCGACTGAAAAAAAAAAAAAAACGACAATTGCGTGTAGACAATTCGTGCGTGAAGAATTGACCGTGCAAACGTTAGGCTGTTCGATTGTGCAACTGTTCACGGAAATTTCAAAGCACGATAATGGGGACTGAAATCGCCATAATGTCTGCAATTCGTGTAACAGAATGGTAACTCGTGTAATTTAAATTGTAAAACGTAATGAAAACCGAGTGAATTTCGCTTCAAATCGTCCGATCGTACGAAAACTGGCGCAGAAATTGAGAAGGGCGAACGATAACGCGAAAAGATGATGATCTAAATAAGAATGAACTCTGACAAATGAACCCTACGATTGAGAAATAAGGAATATTTTATTTATCTTTTTTCCGTTTTCACATCTTCGTTATTTTTAGCAACAAGGAAAAAGTATACGGGTAGAAAAGTGTTTTGTTTCGTACGAAGCATATGGCCATAAACAAATTTAACTATCAAGGTCTCTTTTCCCCCTTTTTTTTAAATTTCTAATTCAATCATTTTTCCTCGTAAATGCTTCGATTCTATAAATAAAATATAATGAAAATACGAAAAAAGAGTGTGGTATTATTTATATTGAATGTTTTGGAACGTTACTGCTTGAAGAAATTTTAAAGTCGATATCAACTATTTAACACTAGAACTACCAGCCGAGTCAAAATGAACCATTAGTGACTTTTCAAAAGTGAATTTTTATGTAAGTAAACCGTGATTGGAAAATTCGATTCATATCGATACAAATGGAAGCATACATGTAGACAATAAATTCGGAAAATTACAAACGATAATACTTACCAGTATTTTACCAGTATTCACGTTTTATCGAAAAATGCTAATGGGACATTACGACCCAGTCGGTAGTTCTAGTGTTAATTATGATTTATGTAATTTTACAGTCTACCTGTTAATATTTATTGCTAGTTGTAAATATAAAAATTCATATTAATAATAATGTAAAAATTTCAAGCAACTCCTTCCTAAATTTCCTTTCTTAATATCTATACCTTTAACGTGTTAAAAAATAATGGCACCTTGTTACAGAAAATAATTTCGAC